AATATAAGCCTGCTGTTAAGAGCTTCCCAAGATGAGGAAAACAGGGTGGATAATGTCAAAACCTGGCATAGGACTAAAACCAGAAAGCTCTCATTCACCCTCTGAGAAGAGTGTGTTGTTAGGTCCCCACAGAGATCTACCACTGACACTCAGCTACAGTTTAATAGGCAAGTAGGCATTTTATAATTAGAAAAATACAACAACCTGGGAGGCAAACAAAATGAGTTCTAATTTTACAGATGAATCCTAGAGGTAGAGGCTGACTGATGAACATCAAACTTTACCATGCTAGGTAAAACTTACTGATCCTGGAATGTGAAAGGAAAATCAAGGACCACAAAATGAAACCAGCTGCTCTATGACTCCCCAGGCTTTCTGACAAAATTATTGAATATTTACAACACCCAAATACTGTTGGGCATGATGGGAAAATCAATAAGCACATAAAACCTGTTCAACTTTGAGGAGGTTACAATTTGATATTTAGGTATCTGTATGATCTTATGGTATAGTAGTAAGCTCGAATTTTATCTCTACCACTTAATAAATTTAGAAATTTGGAATGGTTGTTTAACTTCTCTACCTTCCAAATCAACCTTTCAGGGCTGCTGTTAAGACTGGAGATATCAAATATTAATAGCCAAACACTCAATAAATGGTAGCTCTTATTATGTGCTCAAACACATAAACTATGCTCACTTTCACTTTCTTCAAATAAAGGAACAACATAAAAATTAGAACAAATTGATCAGTTAACAATTACAATTTTAATAAATAAAACTTAAGATTTCAGAGAAATATCACACGCTTATTCCAAATTGGCTTCTATATAAGTATAGTTCCATAGATACAGACTATATGCAAAGAGAATAAGACTGTGGAATCTCATGTTTTGATAAAAAATAATCAGCTTGAAAAGAATAGCACCTTTATTGAATTATCATTTAAAACTTTAATAATAGGAGAGAAAATGGGTTCAAAGAAATAGAGAATAATTAAAAATATAAAACTTTCTTACAGAGATACTTCAGTTGATTTTCCCAAAGAAGGTGAATCTAAACAATAAGAAAGATCTCTAGAGGAGAGAGCAAACTGAAAGGAAACTAAGGGGAATGCAGTATCTCTTAAGTAAAACAATCACAGCTTGACACAGTATAACTTAGTGATTAAGAGCATGAATTCTGAAACCAAAGTGCCTAGGTTCAAATCCCATCTCTGGCTTTACAGCACTTTTGACAACTTCTTTACTTCTCTATACATCAAAGTGGGAATAATATTAGCACCTTTCTCATAATACTGTTATGATAAGTTAATGTATACAAAGTGCTCAGAACAGTGCCTGGCATATAGGAAGGTCCAAACAAATGTGCTCATTATCATCACCATCATCATTAAAATTATAATTAGAGATATGGTGAGCACAATTCTGAAAATCATGTCAAAAGAAGCAATTTCATAGAACTAAGATGGAACTTTCTTTTTGCATAATGACTAATTTGTTTTTGGTTAACTTACTTGGTGACAATGTTCTGCCAATTTGTGCAAAGTCGAAGGTTTGCTTTTCCTGTGGGTCTGTTGGCTACATTCCATGGCCACATTAAGACACTAATACTGACCAGCAGTATTCAACATATTCTCCTGGTTTTAATAAAGTGGTTGGTAAGAAAATGTAAATGGATTAATATAAATTCATGAATAACTTTAGAAAAAATGAATTGATAAATATGTTCCTGTTGATCATAGTTTTGTCATAGGTTGATAATTTTTGTAGAAGGTTGTCAAGTTTTGTCATAGGTTGATAATTTTTGTAGAAAAAAATAGACTCAGAGACAAAAAGTGACTTAAACAAGATCACATGATTACTCTGTGCCAGAGCCAGAACTCTCAGCCCATATAGCTTTTTGTTTGGTTTTTCCATTATCCTACATTCATTAAATATAGAATGTTTTTATTATCTTTGAGAACTTCCTATTTAAAAATTCTATTTCTGTTACTATAGTTTATTATGCCATTATGAAAAACTTAGCCCCAACAACAGAAGCAGGATTTTAAGGCCATGGTAAGACTTCATTATGAGAAAAATGGTAAGCCATTTTGAGGTATTGAGCACATAAAGAGTGACATTACCTGACTTAAATTTTTAAAAGATCACCTTGCCTTAAGAATAGATGATGGGGCAGCGGAGGGGGGGGATGTGGCAAGGGTCAATTAGGAGGATATCACAATAACCCAGGTGAGCGACGATGGTGCCCTGGACCAGGATGGCAGAAACAAGAACGGCAATAAGTTGTCAAAGTCTGGATATGTTTGGATGGTGGCACCAACAACATTTCCTTTTATGTTCATGGGAAGTGTGAGAGAAAAGAGGAGTCATGGAGGCAAGGGAATATAAATCTTCATTCAGGAAGTTCTAATTTTTTTAATTAAGTGTCTTTTGCTACAATCTAAACCACGACTTACTTATCTTCACTTCTATGAAAAGAGGTCCATCACCATCTATACAATGCCCTCTTGGAAATCTGGCAGCAGCCAGAATCATACCATGTGCTGTGAAAGAAACCAAACAATGGCTCCTGACCTCAAAAGAGTTTATCATCATTTAGTAAATGAAACCCCTTCAAGTAGGAGGGAGATATATTTGACGACACTGCATATGTAGCTAGAAGTTGCAACTTGATGTTAAACTAAAACCCTTCTGGACATGCCTGCAGAAATGAGAAGAGAATCAAGCCCACCAAATGTCCATTGCCATGAGGGACAGAGGAGAGTTTGGGATAGAATTTATCCCTCAGAAAGTGGGAGAATCAAACATCTGAAGGGAAAGCTAATTCTAGGTACAGTGTACTGTTACTACTTGGCTTGGTTCCCTGTTTAGCTCCCTATGGACTCATATCTGAACTGATCTCTCTCCCAGGGAAGGGAGATAACTATGAACCAAGAATAAGAAAAGGTCATTTTCCCCCAAATCCTCTAAGATACAAGAGCAACAGCCAATACCACTATGATAGACCCTCGAAGAATATAGCCCGGAAAGGCAGAGAAGCAGCAAGTGGGGCATAGCTGTGGCATCTCAAGGGCTCCATGGGTCACTGGCAATAACCACTGGCACGGGGAAGAGCATCCTCAGAAGTTCAGGTGTTCACTGTTATGACAGTTCCCTAGAATGTGTCAGCAGGACACAGCAGAGGTAGGGCAGAGAGAAAGAGGAATAAAAGAGGTAGATATCACATGTAGCTGACCTCTTCATAAGCAAGCATATGTGAGACTCAAATACTTGTATGAGCTCAGCTGTATTGCAGGTAGGCAAGAGCCAGAGAAGAAAGTTTACATCGCCATCTTCGTTCAATATTTAAATAATGATGATGGAATGAATCCTTTACACTCCAAATACTCACTGCAACATTTGTATAATTATATTTCACAATTAGGCAGTCTGTATATCCCAAAGCTCACATATTTGCCACATCTCTTTAAGCTCTCTAGAATCAAGGTAGATAGTGTCTTTATGGATATTAAAGAGAATGAATTCTGAAAACACAGACAATTGTTCTTTTGAAAATGGTAAACATGAGAATATTTTTAAAACAATTACCCTTCATAAAAGCAGTCATTTTACAAAACTAATAAAAAGGGCTGAATATCTGCAGGCCACCTGTCCTGGTACATATATTACCGACCTTATGCTGCATAACACTTCAACAATGCTTACCTCCTTTTCACTCATAAAGGAAATAATATTCCTTTTTAAAATACTTGTTTTTAAGACTTGCTTTCTTAAGTTGCCTCACACAACTGCATCATGTTGAAGAAGCCAAAATGACATTTTGTGACAGTGTGCCAATTATACTTAAATTCAGTAATTTTCTTAATCTTGAATTATATTTTGATCTTGATTCCATACCTCCTCATGAGAGAGTACTTCTTCGTTTCTTTATTTTTTTAGTTGTATTTATATCCTGCCTTCTTCTCTAAAGTCTTTGAAGTGTCCTATACCTCCAGTACCAGATGATGATGAGATTAGTGCTACTACTACTGCAGTCATAACCACAAGTTCAAGGACAGAGGGAAAAGTCTGGAGAGGATGTCCATACCATTACTACTTAGCTTCCTAGAGAAGAGAGCCAGGGTTTGAGGTATTTCAACAGGTGAGGTATAGATTTTATTCTAGCCAATAGAGGAGATGGAAAGAGAAAAAACAATCTGGAAGATGAGTATGACAAAGTCAGGGATCAGTGCAGGCTTTCATTTAGGTAAACTCAGTAGGTTCCTTGGAAAAATTTAGCAGTTCCTTTGTGCAATATTATAAGTAGGCAAATTAAACAAGATACCTGTTACATCAAAAACCCTACGAAAGATACAATGATACTGAAAATCTATTCCCACACAAGTACATATGATCTAGAAAGAAGAGCAGAGGTCTTGGAAGCCACCGCCTGCTATTTCAGGAGTCACATGCTGAAAGCATCCCTCAGCCATCCCATGTGTGTAAAAGAGCACATTATTAAGATCTACAGCTCAGCTGCATACTTTCACTTGCATTTAGCCAGCCCTTTAAATTTTGTATCTTACTATATATTTCCATCTTCACTGCTACCCTCCATCCACCAATACTCCATTAAGATTCTTATGTTTAGGAAGTGTGAAGACAAGCAGCATGTGTGTGGTTTGAGGGTCAGAGGACTGGAAGGGGCCCAAAGCATATGAAAAGAATAATTCTTCAGAACAAAACAGCAACAACTTCCCACCTTTTTCTGAAGTAGTCTCATCATCTTGTCATGGACTACCCTGCTCTTATCTAGCAGGAAAATGATGATAGCCCCACTCTCCATGATCCAGAGTTAAGGTTCAGCCCAGAAGAGCACATTTTACCCTCTTTGAAGTCAGGGAATCCAGATTTGTGAGAACAAGCATATGTGGGCCAAAGTGTGTGTGTGTGTGTGTGTGTGTGTGTGTGTGAGAGAGAGAGAGAGAGAGAGAGAGACAGAGAGATTGAGATTTACCTTCCAATGAGTGAGAACTCTCCCACGACGCCCAGGCGCCTCATGGCACTCAGGAGGCCTCGGACCGTCATTCCTTCGCAGAAGCAGACCACCACTCTGGCTTTGGGAAGTCTCTCCCGGAGCTTGCGCAGAAGTCGGTCAAAGCTCTTTTCCCCAGCATTGCTGTAGATTTTGTCTGAATGGGCGATGCAGAGGCCTTCCTGGGCAGCCAGCTCTTTGAAAGCATCCATTCCGCTCTCCCCATAATTCCCTGTCCAGAAACAATCAGCAGATGTTCAAGACAACCTGGCAGCGCAGCACTTACAAGCTGGAATAAAGACTCATTAGTCACAAGGAATAGAGAGGACAGACTTGCCCAATAATTTGTAAATATAACTGGAACTGAAGGAAGATCTGGATGGATTCAAGAGAGTCATCAAATGCAATCAAACCACCAACACTGAGAAGATAATGAGAAACTATCTAACCAGGGCATCCACAGCGAAACAAGTTTTGAGAAATGAAGGACTACTGCCCTATTTTACAACAGTGACTGGTAATGGTTGTGACAGATTTTTAGCAATGTGGGAGAGATTGGCACATTGGGTAGGCGGTCAACCAGCACCATAAGAAGGCCTCTTCATTTGAGGGCTCACTTCTGCTGGCTGCCAGTCAAGAGGCAGACACTCACGGTGGTGGCAAACCCTGCGACACTTCAGGAAGAGTGAGCTAAACAAACGGAACATCTGGCCCGGCCAGACTAACCAGAGAAGAAGCAGCTATGTGGTTTAGTCAAAATTCACCATCCTCTGATGAAGTGACAGGATTATGGGAGATTTTGGCCTTACGTTCTGATTTTTATTTTAATATCATTCTTACAATAAAATATACTTTAAAAAACGAAGAACACATTAAAAAAATCAATGAAATAAAGTAAATATTACACTGTGCCAGCTTCCCGTTTCTCTATTTCACTGATGACTTTAGCCCCCATCTTAATGTCCTCTATACCTCTACTCTTTTCCCCAAGTTTGGGGATTTTGACACCTGTGTAGATGATTCAACACCATGTCCTCCAAGTTTCTCAACCCCCTCCAACCAATAATATTTCCGATAACCCACCTACTTCCCTGGCCACACTTTTGACCTTGTTGTCACAAATTTTCTAATATCTCTGAATGTGGATGTCAAACATCCCACTCTCTTTATCCCCTCTTGTCTTTCAAGCTCATATATTCTACTACCCCCACTCCAAGATTTCTTCAACTTCATCACCACCTCAAACCAATTCACCTCCCCATCTTTCTTTCCATCCTTCCTCTCCTTTGCCTCTTAGCCCAGCTCATATCTCATACCCTATCCTCATAATCACTCCCTTACAAATTCTTTAACTGCCTTGTGTCTTCCTGACAAAACCCCAGTGCTAGTTAAACCCAACCATTTACCTATTCCACCTCTACACCTGAGGACCTAAGTATGTCTAGAAAAAACTAAAAATCTTGATGACTGGTTAATTAAAAATTCATGAGCATTCATGCCAGAAGAGGCATTTGATAGTGCAAGGAAATTATACTACATCTCCTCCATTAATAAAATCTCCTAGTCTCTAACATGATTATTTCATCCTTACCCTTCCCTCCTTAAATCTCCAAACTTACTGACCCCACCTCTGACCCTCATCTCAGCTGGGATCCTCATTTCATATTTCAACAAAGACACAGAAATAATCAGACAAAAACTAACTCAGCCATACACCACATCTACAAAGCTTTCTTTGTTGGCACTTATTTCTCTGGCATTCCTCCTGTTGTAAATTTGAAGTGTTTCTGCCTCAGGATACAGCCAACTCCTACTCATAAGCACTAGGTCTCATTGCTTTTTGTCTATTCAAGAACTTTCTCCTGCAATTGTCCCCTCTCTTTTGTAAAAATCAGTTATTTCCTTCCAATGGTGTTAATCAAAAATAAAAAATAAAAACCTTTGCACTTTTTTCCCCACTTACATTACTACCTCATTCTCTAGTCCTATTCATAGCAATGATAAATGTCTAGGTCAATGTGTTTGCTTCATCATCTCCCATTCTCTCCTTTACCACTCTTCCCATTACCTCAGAATCTTCTCCTGTCAAACTCTTCTCTTGTCAAGGTCACCGAAAATTTCCCTGTTGCCTATTTCATGATCTGTTCTCTGTCTTCTTCTTCATTAACCACTCAGATGCACTCAACAGCTGACCACAGCCTCCTTGAAACACTTTATCCTCTCAGTCTCTGATACACCTTCTCATGGTTTAGTCACCACTCACTGACTACTCCTCAATGTATGTGCTAGATTTTCCTCTGCTCAACCTCCAATATTTTCATGCCACAACCTGATCTCTTCTTCATCTCTACTCTCACCCTAATACACTCATCCAGTCACATTCCTTCGAACACCATTTGAATATTATAGTTGAATCCCAAATATAGGTCTTCAGACTAGATTGTCCTTTAGAGCAAAAGATTAGAATATTCGATTGCATCCTTGATATATCCATTTATAGACATTTCAAACTTAACATATCTGAAACAGAATTTTTTCCCTCTCCACCTTGCAAACCCACTCTTTCCAGACATCTGCGGTTAGTAAATAATGCCATTACCCACCCCATTGCTCAATAACAAAGTTTAGGAACTCTCGATTTCTATCTTTCTCTCATGTTCCAGGTCAATTCCACAGACTCTATCTCTCAAACATTTCTAAGCCTGTCTCCTCCATTTCAACCTCTGCCGTCCTAAACCAAGTGTCTTGGGTCAGGTTTCCTAAAAACATAGCTGAGATGAAGATTCTTGTTCAAGTTATTTATTGAGAAGAGGAGCAAGAGAATCTGTGAAGGACAGGTGGGGGATGCTAAGCAGGAATGTCATTCAGCTAGTGAGTAGCTTTAGTCCAATTCCATAAGGAAGTGCTACAGCACAAACTGTAGCACAGAGTTAGCCCCACCTTTAGGAAACAGAGCCCTCCTGTCAATCAGTCATTGGCTAAGGTCCTCAATAAGGCAGGGGAGGTATAGCCTCCCAGGCAGAGGTCAGCTGAGATTTACAAAAGCCTACTTTCACAGTAGCTGGGCGAATGGTGCACAAGGCAGATAGGGAATCTGGGCAGGCCACTGATGGCATCCTCTATTCTAAGTAACCATCAGTTCTTGCCTAGACAACTGCCCTACCCCCGATTGTTCTCCCTGCTTCTACTCTTGTTCCTAATGATTCATTCCACACATAACAGAGTGATCAGTTAAGATGGAAATCAGGTTATATCACACCTCTTCAAAAAGCTTCAATCACTTCCCAGCACACTTGGAATGATACCAAAACTCCTTTCCCTGAACTACCAGCCTTTATGTGGACTGAGCCTTCCAACTTCCCCAACCCCATCTCTGTCCACTTCCTCTCCTCCACCTTCTCTAGACCCATAGATGTGTTTCTATTCTTGGAATACCCTAAACTCATTCATGCCTCTATATTAGCTGTCTGTATCACCTGAAAAGATGATCTTCTACAGATGTTCTTGTCGATCTTGTCTCAATATAAATACGACCCCTTCTGAAAAACCTTTCTTGATCAGTTAGCTTCAAGTAACCCCCCAGCAAATCCTGATCATGTCTCTTGATTTTATCTTAGAACATATGTCTGACATTTTTCTTGTTAATTTTTCTTTCCCCCCCTTGAATATAAGCTCCATGAGAACATCTTTTTATGACTTATCCAATGATGTATCCTTAATCTTTAGAATAGTTCTAGACACTAAATGCATAGTAAAAGTGCATTTGTTTTAACAGCACAATAGAGAAAGGAGCAAAAGTTATAAAGAAGCAATTTAAACAAAATAAGTAAAAGTGGGTGATAAGCATATGAAAAAAAAATTACTGAATATCATTAACTACCAAAAGAGTGCCATTAAAACCAGATAGTTTTTTTCCACCTATCAGATTGCCAGAATTACAAAGATTAATAATATTTAATGCTGGCAAGACACAAATACATTTACTTTTCATGAAAGCAATTCAAACTTTTGGTAGACAATGTGGCAGTAGTTTTCAAAATTTTTTAGGTAAGCATCAGTATACAATATATATAGTATACAATATGTACAGTAATAGTTAAGTCAAAATAATTGTAAAAGAATGATATCCCCCCAAAAAAGGTCTTAGGACTTAAATCTTAACATCTATAAAAGCTTTGTGGGCACTGTAATGAAACTTGTAAGATTTTCCTATATTGTTGAAAGGAAATCTTTCTCATTTCCTTTTTCATAAGATTAAATTATCAATTAATGTATTTGCCTTTTAATTTAACCACCTTCAGTGGCCTAATCCAGTCCAGTGAAGCCCAAATGGGAGCATTAACTTGTCACAAAATTCTCAGCTCCACAGACTTTGGAAACACATCATGGCTCAGAAAAGAGGCAGTGACTGAGTATAAGGGAGAAAACTGGCTGGCAGTGGATGCTCATCTGTCTGCAGAAGAGTGTTTGAGAAGGACATCAGATGCCACTTTCCCATAGTAAATGCATGTTCAAGAATCTACAAGGTACACAGACATCACTTGCCAACTCTCTCAGCAAAGGCTCTATCAGTCTGTCAGAAGATGGTGTTACAAGGGCAGTAACTTTATTGCTAAAGTCCCATCCTTAGATTTCAAACACAGAAAAATATTTTATTCCCTTATCAAAATACAGACTAACTGAGCAAGAATGTTCTATGCATTCAAATGAGAAAATCTTTGGTTTTTTTTAAGTCTAGTAAAGGCCTTAGATATAATCTGTCCAAACATTTCAGGTTACAGACAAGGAAACTGAACCACACAGGGGCAATGGCTCACCAATGGGCATGAAGCTTGTTTGTGTTAGAACTAGAGCAGTTTTAAATGACTTGAGTCCTAGGTTACTGCTCATTTTTCTTAATAGTTAAATCAATTAAATATATATGTTTTCATAATAAAAAATGTCTGCATAGGCCAATTGGTTTCATGAAATATTTGTCCCACTTTCTGTATTAATATTTTATTTGGATAGCAGCTCCTCATTATAGAAATTGATAGCCGAATATCATGCATTGGGCCATGTTTCAACTGCCCATTTTTCTCATGATGCCTAAAAGACTCCAAAGTAGCACATAAATTTCCATGAGAGCAGTTCTGATATAGGAACAACAACAATAATAACTTGTACTTTTATAAATATTTATACTCTAAAAATTACATTCACAAACATATCTTATTTGATTCTTAGAACAGC